CCTTCAGAGATAAGGGGCGGGACCTGCCACATCCCAGATCCCCCCCCAGACCCATCCACTGAGCCCCAGAGCTGACCTCAGCAGAGCTTCAGCCCCAGCCTTGACAAACAGCAATTCTCCCACCACTTAGGGCTGGCTAAGCAGAGGCCAGCAAAGCCCTTCTGATCTTCCCACCCACCAGGAAGGTTCATAGCATCTCCTGGAAGCACAGACCCACCCACACACACACACCAGGGTACACTGCAGGGGGGACCAGCACCCAACACATCATCTGTCGAGCACAAGCCCCGTTGATCTCACCTGGTCGATCCATGGTCCCAGGTTGGGGGAGCACTCATAGAGACACGTGTCCTGGATGAAGTGGCGCTTGCACTTGGGGGGCATCACCCCGCAGTGGTTCCAGTTGAAGTTGTACAGGTTGGATTGGTCCCTGTGGGCCTCCAAGCTGGTGTTGGCCGTGCAGCAGGCATTGTCCTTCCAGGGAGCACACTGCCGAGGAGCAGGGGACAGGCTCATCAGGGAGCACAGGCAGCAGCTCAGGGAGCCAGAGGATGCTGCAGGCACCTGCCCCCTGCATTGTCTACAGCAAGAAACCACCAGCAAGAGGACGGTCCCTCCTCAGCAAACCCTTGGGCACTTTAGACTGAGGAGTTCTGGGCTGCAGCAAGGTGGCGATGGAGGAAGAGCTAGCGGGAGGAGGAGGTCAGATCCTCCCCAGGAACAAGTGCCAGCCTGAGGAACAGGAACAAGCTCCCTTCTGCACCTTGGCTTGCTCTTATGCCCATCTCCACCAAGGACCAGGGGCAGAGCTCTTCAACTGGCCAGAAGAGTCTCTAAAGCAGAGTCTTTCCTTGCCATCCTTCACCTTGTTCTGATCTGAGATACCACAGCTTTGGGAGGGGGAGCCTCCTGCTTAAGGAGGAGGGACACTGAGATGAGAGACTGCTCCTATCATAACTATTTGTTAGAGGAGAAAAGCAAAAGCCAGGCCTCAAACCCAGTACAGAGTCTCTTCCTCAGGCAGGTGATTTCCGAGCACAGACCCAGCCCATATCATCTGGGGAGGGGAATACAGGGGCTCTGACAATCCCACCCAACACACCAGCAGGGTCCTACCTGGTCATAGAGCATCCCCTCGGGGCCAGGCTTGGTTTTGTGGTGCTTGGCATCCATGCAAATGTTCAGCAGCAAGTCCCTGGCAGGTACCACCGTGCAGGCAGCCAACAGCAAGAGCATCACCCACCCCATTCCCATCTTCACGGGATCAGGGAGCTGATGGAGCTGCAGGAAGGGGACAGCACAGGAGGGGATTTGCCACAAGCAGCAGTACGTGAGGTCTGTGGGGCCAGACACTCCTGAGGACACACCAGGAGAACATCAGCAACCTACAGCACCAAGTGCAGCCCTAAGATCAGCCACACATTGTCCTCTGAGCAGCACCATAAAGGGCCCTTTTAGCGCTAGGGCTGTTCGAGTGTTAACTTCAGACATCCCTGATGGGGAAGTGATGCTGTGAGATCCCTTCAAATCAGGGTCCTTCTGCAATGAGCCACAACACAGAGCTTCCAGCTATCCCAAACCTTCTGCTGCCGGACACTGCCAGCTATGGGAGGTCTTCAGCAAGCAGTTCAGAGGAGGAGGGTGAAGGCACCATCACATCAACACCTCATGTGGGACGGGAGCTGCACCTTTGCATTGAGGCAGATGTTAAACCAGGAAAGCATCTCCTTTGGTTCATCTGGACCTTTGGGGACCCACACCCAAGGTCCCCAAAGGAGACCGGACACGAGCAATAAAAACACTTCACATAAACATGGCTCATCCTCCTCTGCCCCTAAGAGGTCAGTAGGGCTTTGGGTCATCTACTAACCAAAGAAATCCCAAAACAACACCTCCCCCAAAAAAAAAACGAAACCCACAAACCACCCAAAACCCCTCAAAACAACCCCCCCAATACCCCCAACCCAGACACAGCCTCCCACCGCTCTCCCTCCCTTCCCTAGCCAACAGGGCACAAAGGTCTAAACCAAATTGCCTTTTAAGAAGCACTTTGCAAAGCACAGGAGGAAGCCAAAGCATTTACAGCACTAAAATTGCATAAACTAACCCAGGAGGCAGCAATTACAGAGCCGAGGATGCAGCCATGGGCAGCAGAGGATGAGGAAGCAGCCAACTCACAGCAGAACTACATACTTCTATATCTAAACCCAACAAACCCCCCAGTACCAACCTCAGAGCCCAGGGAGCCTCCAGCCCCACCACAGCACCTCAGAACCAGCCAGCCCTGCCCCTTCCAGGGGCAGCTTTAATGGGGAAGCTCCTGACACAGGTGCTGGCACTTGGAATTACCTCCCCCATGTGTTAAACAGGGTTTGACTTTCCCAACATTTGTTACCTTGGGCGCAGTTGGTTTGGGGATAACTGGCTTGTCCAGCCCCTTGCACCAGCAACAGCTTTGTGCTTGGGAAACAATCCAGTGTTTTCCTCCACAGGGAGGGCTCTTATCGGCCTTGGGCACTCACAACAAACTCTATTCCTCTGCTCCTGCTCTACCATTAGGTTTTGATTTGCACCATTGCCCCAGGGATCCTGCACTGGATGAGCTTTGAAGGTCCCCTCCAACCCAAACCAATCTGTGATTCTGTGACTGTGTGACCCTGCTTTAGTGATGAATAACAACCCCCTACATTCATTCTGAACCAGACGTGCTGCTTTAATTTGCCATTAATTCTCTCTCTCATACTGGAAGTGACAACAAGCAGATCTCCCCCCACCTCTCCAAGCCTTTCCCACCTCTGTCCCATCTCCCATCCATTGCCTCTTCCCAGCAGAACCACATTCTGCTCACTCATTTCCCATGGCAAACCCTTTGCTCCCCAGTACACTGGGGCTGCAGCAGCAATCCCGATGGTCAGCGTGTCCTGGCCTTGGCCTTGTTCAGGAATTCCTAATACTGGCTTGTTTTGGGGACCGCTGGTCACTGAGTGTGTTGTGGCACCATCAGGACAGTGACAGCTTGTTCTCGGGAGATAACTGCTGGCCGCCAGCCAATCATCTCCCAACTGGAGTGTTCTGGAGCCCCTAGGACATCGCTGTGTTTATCTCAACGGCTCCTTACCAGCCTCCTGGTTTGTTGTTGGTGCCTCAGTCCGGCCAGGCTTTTCTGCCTGAAGCGCTGAGACCCCCTAACCATCACTTTAAATGCTATTTATCTGAGGTAGCAATACAAAGAAAGAGAGGGTGGTGTAGACAGAATCATGGAATCCCAGCCTGGTTTGTGTTGAAGGGACTTTAAAGCTCCTGCAGCTCCAACCCCTGTCCCGGGCACGGACACCTTCCACTAGAGCAGGTTGCTCCAAGCCCCTGTGTCCAAGCTGGCCTTGAACACTGCCAGGGATGGGGCAGCCACAGCTTCTCTGGGCAACTCTCTCCCTCTCACTGTATCCTCAAAGGTAAGGAAATGGGTGGGTACATCCACAGTAGTTCCATGCAATTATTTTCCTTGTGCAACCCATCTCCAGGGCGTGGGATTGAATTTTGAGTGGGCGGATGCTGAGGAACCTCTCCAGGGTGTACTGAGCACCCCAGGGTCTGCATCAGCCAGGGCCTCAATGCAGTCACCTACTCATCGTTACTCAGTGCCACCAGAGACCACATATCTCATCAGAGATGCTGCTGGTGTCCCATGTGGCTCCCACTGCCACTGTACAGAGCAATGAGTGTGTTGTTGTGATCAGAACCTCATTAGGGGCTAAAAGCAAACACACTCCATGTCTAAAGCTGAGAATTAATTGGTAGTGTAATTGAAAATGGGCTTAACACAAGAATCACTGTTAGTCCAGAGCCAGTTACTGCAGAAAAAAAAGGAGAGGAATTAACATTTCTCTACAGAAAAAGAAGTTGTAGTTGTAATAATAATGATGATGATGATGATGTTATACACACACTTCCCAGTTTCTAGCTCTCCCCTGGCATCATGCGCACTCTCTCACTGCTTCTCTGGGTCCTAAGGTGAGCACTTTGGTGGTGGTGGATGTTAGATCAAGACATCAGTATCTGGATCCTGCACAGGGAGTATATCGATGTTCATGGCTTCTTCTTCCTCACTCCAAGGCCCACTTTGTGCCTTTTTTAACACTTAACTGTGCTTTTCCACCCTGCTTTCTCTTCGCTGCTCTACAAGTCCATGTTACGTGCAAGTTTCCTAAATACGCTACATTTTATGCATGTTCAATGCTCGTTCTTTGCTCTTTCTCACCCCAACCATTTTGGCCCAGCCCCGAGCTCACAGTCCTTTAACTGACCATTCCTGAGCTGTCGATAGTTCCCAGCACCAGGCTGTGCCCCAGCTCTTACCACCCTGTGCCTGCACGTTGTGCCGTGTCCCCACGTCTCAGGCCCTGCCACCCTGCCAGAGGGACATTTCTCATCCATTATATTGAAGTCATAAATACCTTATTTGGCACAAAAGAAGCACTTTTTGCTGCTCCCTGCATCAAACTGCACCAATGGATGCACCGTACAAGGGTGAGCGAAAAGCCGCTGCCATCGGCAGAGGAAAAATTGCCATTATTGCTGAATCTGGTGAAAGCAAAGCTCCAGGAAGATGAGGACAGGTTCACAGGGAGCAAACCTGGCACAGTGCAGCCCTGGGACCTGGCAAACTCAGGACAAGGCCCATGGCCAGCAGTGGATGTGCCGTGGTGCTGAGCTTTGGGTCAGTGTGCAGGACCTGTGTCATGGCCAGGAGGATGCTGAGGACATGTCCGATGGGACTCAGCATCAAGGAGGGGGGAACCATGAGCCCTGGGGTCTGGGATGCCCTGTGCAGGTGGGGACCCATCACCAGCACATGGAGGTGCATCCATGGATGCACCCACGTTTAACCATCCTATGCTGGAGCTGCATCCCAGTGCTGAGTCCTTCAGGAGTGAACCAGCTACAAGAAGAGCAAAGAGAACCCCAGGTCCCCGAGGGAACACCCGAGGTTTTCCTCCTTTCCCTGACAAAACTGGCTAAAATGCAATTTAAAAGTGAGTGTAAGCAGGAGGTTTCTTGATGGACACAGAAAAAGGAGGGATGTGTTTTCCCTTGGACAGATGCTGTTGCTTCGCTTTTTCATTGGATTTTTCCATCCACCACAATTTTTGTTTCCTAAAAAACTTCGGACTTTGAAGGTGGTTGTAAAATCCCACACTGGAGATTCTATGACACAACTTCTGGATCACTTTGTAAGTGGGAATAAGGAGGTTCGTGAGCCCCTGCATGCCAGGATGAATGGCTCAGTGCAGTAGACTTGAGCAGCATTGCTCATGGAGAATAAGGGACACGGGTCAGCCCGGAGCTTGGGTGAGAAAAGGAGCTCTCCTCACTGTTCACAGGGAAGCTGAACACTCAGTGGTGATGGAGAGGCAGCAGATAGAGACTGCAAAGGGTGATTTGTTCGGCTGCTGCTCTGCAGTGAAGATCCACTCATTTAATGTAGTGCATAACACACTCCCGTGTTCTGCTTGCTGGAAGAGGAACTGCCTCTGGTTGATAAAGTGCTTTAATAGCCCTGAATGAAGAGACAAGTTACAGTGATTCAAGAGAGAGGAAAATCTGAGAACAGAAAGCAAGGAAGGAGTAAAACAAGAAGGGAAATGACTGTGAGAGATATATGAATGAAACCAGAGCCAAGGGTGATATTTCTTGGAAATTAAAGCTCCTTCTTGACATGAAATGTCCCAAAAGCCTCTTCCCATGGCTTCTGGGTACATCCCATGGAGGTGGTTGTCTCGACCCCATGGTAAGGGCAGAATCTCTTTGGGAGCTATGAAAGAAGGTGGAAATTGGCCTCTGAGTACACAAGGTGGGGAAATAAAGCCACGTGCACATGGGAATGGGGGAATGGGCTGCTGAGTTCTGTGTTTTGACTCTTCTGTAGCAGATCTGTGTTAGCATAGTCATAGAATCATGGAATAATGGGATGGTTGGGTTAGAGGGAACCTTAAAGCTCATCCAGTTCCAACCTCATTTCAATGGTTCTGCTTCTTCCTTGCAGATGTTGAACTGGGAATCTCCCCAGGAAATGTCGCTGGGATCTGAACTGGAAGTGTACATGACTTTGGTCAACTTGGTTTTGGTATTGGTGAGTGGCTGCTGGACATCCAGCCCAGTATTTCGTAGCCTGATACCTCTCCTACCAAGGCCAACGGGCAGTGTTCCTTCACTGACACATCTGCTGGAAAAGTGAC